GCATACACCTCTTATGACCAACTTCCTCCGCATCCCAACCTTTACTTTAATCCACATTATTCTTGAATTTACACATTCATATTCTCTTTTCTCCTTTCCTAACTGATCATTTAACATTACTGCTACCCCTTCCTTTGCTCTACTCTCTCAGACACTCCAGATTTAATCCCATTTATTTCCCCCACTGAACTCTCCTACCCCCTTCAGCTTTGTTCGCTTAGGGCCAGGACATCCAACTTCTTTTCATTCATTGCATTTATATATATATATAATATATAATATATATATATATATAATATATATATATATATTATATATATTATATATATATTATAAATATATATAATGTATATATATATATAAATATATAATATATATATATATATATAATATATATATATATATAAATATATATGCAAAACAACCACTCTGAAAGAATAAGAAATTCCAAGCGCTTTCGTGACTACTCACATTATCAAGGAACTATAGAGTGAAGCATCCAAGAAGCTATATAAGGGTCCGGTCAGCACCTCACTATCAGATCCACAACGGTTAAACACGTGACGCGCGGCGACCCAACTTGGATAGGTCCTTTGCACAACTCACCCCCAAGCTATTCTTCCCAAGAAAATTTAAAAATTATTTGTCCAGTGTATTATTAAATTCTTCCCAAATTCTATTAATTATAAATGGATCTAATTAATAAAACCAAAGGAATATATCATATTATTGTCAAAACTGCTTTTTATGAAACAAGATTCAATTATATTCCTGTCGACCATGGACTTGCTTGATACTACTTTCTCAACTTTTTGAAAATCAATTGGATGGTTAAAATCTCTTACATGAATAAATAGAACATTGGAATCTTGTCCAGTTCTAATGCTATATTTATGTTTTTAATCTTAGTTCGAGATTTTTACCAGTTTGACCGTAATAAACTTTACGCAAATTTTACAAGGAATCTTATAACACATCCATCAGCAATTTTGGGGGAATTCTTTATCAAAAGTTTTTTAACTGTATCAAGATTTTTGAATACAACTTTAATTTTAAAAAGCTTAAGAAGAAAGGCATATCAACCAATTTTTTCATGGTAAGGAGAACCAACATATTTTTAGTTGAATAAGGCTGGTTGTCCCTTTTGGAATTATAAAAAGTGTTTCTACAACTTTAAAAGATTTATCAATTACATTTCTTGGGTATTTTAAATCATTACCTATTTCATAAATTTTGGATATTTCCTCATCTATGAACTCAGGACTACAAATTCGTAAAGCTCTCAAAACATTGATGAAACAGACAGTTTGACTCTATCTTGATGCGAGGAATATAGTGAACATAGGAACAGTTTATTTGTAGGTTTTCTGTAAATTTTAAATTTGAATTCATTATTACCCTTAATAATTAAAACATCTAGAAAAGGCAATGAGTTATTTTCTTCAAACTCAACAGTAAAGTTTATAGAATGGGCTAAGCTATTAATTTTCCAAGAAAATGTGTATATCTACTTTTGGGCATAAGACACAAAATATCATCAACATATCTGAACCATTTGCTCTATTAGGGAGGATTGTTTTAAGCAACCTTTTTCAAAAAATTCCATGTATAGGTTACTAAGAACAGGTGAAAGAGGTTTTTCCCATTGCCATACCAAACTTCTGAGTGTAAAACTTATCATTAAATACAAATTTGCTATAACAACAATCAAAGTTTAATAAGTTTAATGATAGTAGGAACTGGCAATGGTAAATCATAGTTAACGAGTTCTTCAGATAAGAAACTTAATAAATCATCAACAGGAACTTCGTAAACAAAGGAAGTAACATCAAAACTAACCATGTTAAAATCATTTAAGTCAGTCAAGGACTTAATTTATCAACCAAGTCTATGTTGTTTTTAACATTAAAGTTAGAAATTTTGCCAACAATAGGGCTCAAAATATCAACAAGCCATTTGGATAATTTATATGAAACTGACCCTATGGAGCTAATAATTGGTCTGACTGGATTCCCTGGTTTGTGTGTTTTTATTAGTCCATACATGTAAGGTAAAGATGGATTAGTGGAAGTAAATTGTTTGACTAATTCATCTTTGCCTTTCAGTAGAAGTTTTATTGTTTTATTGAAATTGCTGTTAACGGCTTCTAGGGGATTTTTCCTAAGTTTAGAATAGGTTTCAGTATCATCTAAGAGATTATTCATTTTTTCTTGGTAATCATTTTCTTTCATAATTACTATTGCATTTATTTTGTCTGCGCCTTACTAAAGCAGACAAAAGTAGACAAGGTCTCCTCAGTTGACAAGGAAATATTATAGGAGAGAAATAATTATGAAATACTCAGGAAATAATGTGAGACAATACAGGAAGTTAAACGTTTAAAAAATATATTTCTTATTTTCTGGTTTTGATAAAATAATATGAAACGATCTGCAAATCTGCCGGAGGTCAAACTGCTTAGGACAGACTTCCGTCTCACACTCACATAGCAATATAGTAGTAATGTTTAGACAGATTGTTTTATAAGACTACCTATAAACACTACAGCAGGCGAGGGCATCAAGTGGATACATTGTCTCTGATACTAGTTTGTATTCTGTGTACGGTCTCTCCTTTTTTTGGGTTAAACTTCGACAACTCTTTTGTGACCATCACTGCAACTTAGGTCTCCTTGTAAGTAGATTCGAAACTCTTCTGTTCGTATTCCTACTCCTCACGGGAGGGTCCTTGATGCTGGTCAGGGGCCCCTTGATGCTGGTCAGGGGCCCCTTGATGCAAGGAATTTGACCTGTGCTCCAATTCCATGAATCGAGTCTGAATGTGTTCCATTCCCCAACGAAATGTAATAATGATATTCGTATACGTAACAGTCTCACATTATCTGCAAACAAAAACTCAAAGGATTAAGTCCCATCTGATAAGTAATTTGCATACGTCAGGAAGAATATCGAGCCAAGTAAAGAGTCAATGACAGCTCCATTTATTGCTCTCGCCCATCCTGACGTCATCTCTTGTACTGTCATTGTCTAATATTCCAGATTTTCTCTGATCGACTGGAGAGCTTTCTCTTTAATCCCTGTATATTATTCTCTACCCAGCTGTGTGTATTCCGGTATCTCTTCATCCTCATACCAGCAGAGATGACCACCAGCTGGATTTACCTGGAGTTACCTGGAGAGGGTTTCGGGGGTCAACGCCCCCGCGGCCCGGTCTGAGACCAAGCCTCATGGTGGATCAGGGTCTGATCAACCAGGCTGTTACTGCTGGCAGCACGCAAGCTGATGTACAAACCACAGCCCGGTTGGTCAGGTACTGACTTTAGGTGCCTGTCCAGTGCCTTCATGAAGACAGCCAGGGGTCTATTGGTAATCCCCCATATGTATGCTGGGAGGCAATTGAACAGTCTTGAGTCCCGGACACTTAATGTATTGTCTCTCAGTGTACCCGTGGCACCCCTGCTTTTCATCGGGGAATGTTACATCTCCTGCTGATTCTTTTGCTTTCATAGGGCGTGATTTTCGTGTGCAGGTTTGGTACCAATCCCTCCAAGATCTTCTAAGTGTATATTTTCATATATCTCTCTCGCCTGCGTTCGAGAGAATACAGATCAAGGACCTTCAACCGTTCCCAGTAGTTTAGGTGCCTTATCGTACTTATGCGTACCATAAAAGTTCTTTGTACACTCTCCAGGTCTGCAATGTCGCCAGCCTTGAATGGGGTCGTTAGTGTACAACAGTATTCCAGCCTACAGAGCACAAGCAATTTGAAGAGAATCATCATGGGCTTGTCGTCCCTAGTTTTGAAGGTTCTCATTATCCATCCTAACATTTTCATAGCGGATGAGGTAGATACATTGTTGTGGTATTTGAAGGCGAGATCCTCTGACATTATCACTCCCAGGTCCTTCACATTACTTTTCCGCTCTATTGCATGGTTAGAATTTGTGGTATACCATGACACATTTTTAATTTCTTCAAGTTTCCCACATCTGAGTAGTTGAAATTTCTCCTCGTTGAACTTCATATTGTTTTGAGTGGCCCATTCGAAGATTTGGTTGATGTCCGCTTGCAGTCTCGCGGTGTCTTCGATGGAGGTCACTGCCATGGTGATCCGGGTGTCATGCGCAAAGGAACACACGGAGCTATGGCTTACATCTCTATGTCAGAAATGAGGATGAGGAATAGAATGGGAGCGAGTACTGTGCCTTGTGGAACAGAGCTTTTTTACCATGGCTTCCTGAGACTTTACCTTGTTTACTATTACTCTTTGTGTTCTATTTGTCAGGAAGTTGTAGATCCATCTACCGACTTTTCCCGTTATTCCTTTATCATGCATTTTGTGTGCTATTACACCATAGTCACACTTGTCGAAAACTTTTGCAAAGTCTGTGTATACTACATCTGTATTTTGTTTATCCTATACAGCATCCAGGACCTTGTCTAGTAGCTGGGACAGGCAGGAGCGACCTGCTCTAAACCCATGTTGCCCTGGGTTGTCTAACTGATGGACATCTAGGAGGTTGGCGATCTTGCTTCTTAGAACCCTCTCAAAGATTTTTATGATATGGGATGTTAGTGCTATCGGCTTGTAGTTCTTTGCAATTGCTTTACTGCCACCTTTGTGGAGTGGGGCCATGTCTGTTGTTTTTAGTGTGTGTGGGATGACCCCTGTGTCCATGCTTCCTCTCCATAAAATGCTGAAGGCTCGTGATAGGGGCTTCTTGCAATTCTTGATGAACACGGAGTTCCACGAGTCTGAGCCTGGGGCAGAGTGCATGTGCATGTCACTAATTGCTTCTTCAAAATCTTGTGGAGTTAGAATAATATCCGAGATTTTTGGGATGACCAAATTTTGGGTTTCGTTCAAAAAGAATTTATTTGGATTGTCGGCCCTTAGTCTGGGCAGTGGCTCACTGAACTCTGAGTCATATTGGGAGTTTAGTATCTCACTTGAGAAAATACCAGCTGCCCTCCAAGGAAAGATATTTCTGGTCCGTAGATTACCATTCGACATTGTTAATCGTTTTCTCGCCATAGCACTTAGGCTGATATATTTTGAAATAAAATTATAGAAAAAGGAGAAAAATAAATAGACATAGATAAATAAAGGAACAAGGTGATCCATATTAGGGAGACTACAGAAAAATTAGAAATTAATGCTATTATCAGAGATAAAGCAATTGCAATAAGAGTATTATGTGGCATCAGCAAAATTACAAAATCGGAATCATTTAAATTTTAATAACAATACACACTCACCTCACTATCAGCTGACACTTGAAGCATGTTTGTAAACATAAATCAGCTGATTACTTGACCACAACATTACATCTAGTCATATCCATCTAGTAGGGAACTAACATGCTACATATAACACAAGTTTAATTAACCCAGAACATGCACGTATCACGTAAACACGTCACACCTGTCACGATTGCGGCAGTGTCCGTCACGAAACTTGCAGGCGTTGCGGAAGTGGTCGAGCCGTGGCTTGCACCAGGGGTCGTCGCGGCAGAGGTCGGCTGCACGGTCGCAAGCGGGAATGTGCGGCAGTAGATCGATTGCCACATCTGCAAGAACAGATCCACAGCATCATGATCCGTGTGAGAATTATTGTCCGATTACTATTTTTTGTAAAATATATTCTTTATATTATAATAGCATAAACATATATGACCATAAACATGCATACAAACAAACACACAGACGTACACAAACTGATAAATACAATACATATACAAACACGAACGTATATTTTTTGGAGTACAAGACAGAATTTACTCTAACGGATAACATGAAAAGAGTTGTTTACCAGAATTACGTACCCTTACACGCAGGAGATGCACAGGTTCAGGAGAACACTAATAAGGGAAATAAAGGTAGACGAGATGAAGTTGTTTTGCCTCGAAAAGTTAGTATGTGACATTATGAGATACATTTTAGACTCGAGAACGGTACTGTAGGACTAAGCATACTTCTTGTACCTCGCCTCGTGTTCTCAATTCTAAATTAGCACAAAACTCATGTGCACGTACAGTACTACAGCAGAGTCACTGTGGTCACTATAACGAATGACTATCCAGTTCTCAAAAAAGACGACAACATTAACCTGATGGACCATTCAGGGTATGTTGAAAGGATACAATCAGGTCCTTTATATAAATAGTCGGAAGAATCTTTGTCTTTACTATATTGGGGTCTTATATATAGTATTTGTATAGTATAGACCTTCTGGAGGTAAAACTAGCCTAAACGATTCAACGTTTTATAACAAGGGCTACAAATGGGTTGCATGGCGAAGAAACATTGCAGGATGATCTTATCACCTCTGGTCAGCGATAAATGAGACTAGCACTTGTTGCAGATATAGGCTTTGTTCAGAGAGCAGTGTCAGATCGTCAGAAGGGAGTTTCATGGGTCGTGCAACTGAGCAAGGAGAGGTGTTGCTAATCACAGCAAAACAAGAAACCTAAAACAATGTTGCGATGACTTCTATCTGAAGTGCAATAATGCAGTTTTTGAGCATTTCCGTTTTTACAGAGCTTTTGTTGAAAAATTTCATATGTAGCTCATCCATTAACTTCACTTACAAGTACAAAGTGCAAGTTTGTTTGAGATAAGATTAGCGAGAGAACTTATGAGTGCTTGGAATGTTTGCAGTTCGCGGTTCCAATAGTGCAGAATTTTAATTTTAATGCACCTTCTATTGTTCAGGCAGATGTTAGCGAGGTGAGAATTGGTGCTGTAGTTTCTCAGTAATCACTGGATGTATGGCATCTGGTATGCTTATATTCCTCCATGATGAAGAGGCATCAGAATAATTACAATACTGGAGAAAAAAGAAGTGGTTACATTGGAATCAACCTTCGAGCATTTTGAGGTTTACCTGGGCATGGCGTTTCATACATTTCTGGTGAATTCAGATAATCCAATCACGTTTATTCATTCTCTGAAAGATAAAAACGCATTACTTATGTTTTGGGCTCTTCATAGTTATCCATTTAACTTAGTTACACCACATCCAGAGAGAGCACGATATGCTGACCCATACGTTATTTACATCACTTGTAAATGTTTGGCAACCTGTATCAAAGGAATTTTTGTCTATATCACCTCGTACAAGTGGAGTGCATGACTGCATTTGTGTTATAAAAAAACAGTAAATTAAAAACATAATAGTTTTATTTCATAATGATGCAGAACATTAATTAGATGTTCTTAGTTGAAGCGAGTATGGGTTCCCACCACCTTGTTCTTGATTACTGATAGTGAGGCATTTATGTACAGTGTTTAATTGTGCATTGTTACTGTTATTTGAAGATGAGGTTAAACATTGAATGGACAAGGGGAAAATGATGGATGGCGCACTGAGGCATCTGTAGAGACGAAGAATGTAGTCAATGGAAGGAAAGGGGAATGTATCAGAGTATAGTGAGCACCTTCATCTATAATGGGTGTGAAGCATGGGTATGATCGTTGGAGCGAGAATGAGGCTGGAAGCACTGGAGATGTGTATGAGGGCAAGGTGTGGTGTGAATATTATGCAGAGAATTCGTAGTTTAGAGATTAGAAGGAGGAGTAGAGTTACTAAAAGTATTATTCAGAGGCTGAGGAAGGATTGATGAGGTCAATCGGACATTGAAGTAGGATGGCTTGGAGGGTGTATAAATCTGTGGTGGGGGAAGGCGGAGTAGGGGTCGTTCCAGGAAAGGTTAGAGGGAGGAGACAAAGAAGGTTATGTGTGAGAGGGGCTTCAACATCCAGCAGTCGTGCGTGTACATGTTACAGAAGAGTGAGAAGAGGCAAGTAGTTTTTATGATTTGATGTGCTGTTGGAGTGTGAACAGGGTAACATTTATCAATGGGTTCAGGGTAACTGGTTAGTCGAACTTGTGTCCTTGAAGGAGTGAGGATTTTGTAGTTTGGAGGGGCCTCTGATCATAGTGTCGGAGGGCTTCTGAGAAGACGGTCATGGAGTGAGTGATGGTGAAAGTATTTCTTCATGTTTCTGGGGTCACCCCTCCTCGGGGTGTGTTCAAAAAAAAAAAAAAGCTTCAGATAACTTACCTACCAAAATTTACATACCTGGAGAGGGTTTCGGGGGTAAAGGCCTCAGTGGCTTGGTATGAGACCAGGCCTTGTGGTGGATCAAGGTCTGATCAACCAGGCTGTTACTGCTGGTCGCAAGCAAACTAACGTACGAACCACAACCCGGCTGGTCAGGTACTGACTTTAGGTGCTTGTCCAGTACCTTCTTGAAGACAGCTAGGGGTGTATTGGTAATCCCCCTTACGTATGCTGGAAGGCAGTTGAGCAGTCTTGGGCCCCGGACACTTATTGTGTTATCTTAGTGTACTTGTGGCACCCCTGCTTTTTTGGGGGGAATGTTGCATCTCCTATCGAGTCTTTTGCTTTTATTTTCATGTGCAAGTTTGGCACTAATCCTTCTAGGATTTTCCAAGTGTATATTATCATGTATCTCTCCCGCCTGCATTCCAGGGAATACAAATCAAGGGCCTTCAACCGTTTTCAGTAATTTAGGTGCCTTATCGTACTTATGTGTGCCGTGAAAGTTCTTTGTACATTCTCCAGGTCAGCAATTTCGCCTGCCTTGAAAGGCGCAGTTAATGTACAGCAGCATTCCAGGCTAGAGAGAACAAGCGATTTGAAGAGAGTCATCATGGGCTTGGCGTTCCTAGTTTTGAAGTTTCTCATCATCCATTCTATCATTTTCCTAGCAGATGCGGCAGATACATTGTTGTGGTCTTTGAAGGCGAGATCCTATGACATTATCACTCCCTGGTCCATCACAACACTTTTCGCCCTATTGTATGGTTAGAATTTGTCGTATACCCTGATACAGTTTTAATTTCCTCAAGTTTTTCGTATCTGAGTAGTTGCAGTTTCTCTTCATTGAACTTCATATTGCAGTTCATATAATCATAAATATAATTATATTATATTTATGATTATATTTAATGATTTAATGAAAAATTAAATAAATTTTAAAAATGACAGTGATGTGACCTTCACAGAAGAGGCACTGAAAAGTTCCATAACCACATCCAAACCTTGACAGATGACACGAAAATTTGAGACATAAGCAACACGTGTGAAATAGCACGCACGAAGGTCGCCAGGTTGAAATAATGTTGGTAGAATTACCGACAATATGTTAGGTTAAATGACAGATGTTCAACTACTGACACATTTTATTAGTTGCAGAGCTGTCCTTTTGCTTAACTCATTAGTGTCCAGGTCGTAGCAGGAATGAAGTTTGGTTGCCTGTCTACTTGGAGGGTATGCACTGTGCTATGTTGTTACTGTATTTCACACGTCAGCATGCTGCTACACTGCTCGATCCTCAAGTACAAACTCACTTACAGTGGTAAGAGTATATGACCCTCTTCCCAGAATTTTGTGGCACCTTTCTGTGTATACATGACTTGAAATTTTGTAGGATGTTATTAGAATTAGCTTCATAGTTGGTGAAAAAGTTTTGGGTAATATTTGGTCTCTTCAAGTACAAGAGCCATTTATCATATTACATGAAACTGCTATACTTGGAGACGAGAGAGAAGTAAAATAAATGAATGATTTCTTTTGTGATGCATCTATTATGGCAGTACACAGCACTGCAATAAAAGGACCCTTTTATGTATTGTATGCAGCAGTGTTAGTAAAGGGTTATTTGACTTACATCCTCTTATTCTGTATATTTATGGTGAGACGTGTGTCTGGAGGAAAGGGATGTTATATGAATGTTGTGCAAGACAGGTATACAATACCGACAAGATGAAAGTTAAGACACTTGTGCAACATCTGGTTATCTTTATTGTAGACGTTTCGCCATCCAGTGGCTTTATCAATACAGATTCTTGGACAGTTCTTGTCCTTATTGTATACCTGTCTTGCACAACTTGTCAGACACTGCAACATCATGGAATCTTGGTTCGGAGGACATCTACATGACCTTATTCACGGCCTCTACAACTAACCCATCAATTTGGGTAGGACCTACTTCCACTGGGGAATCCCGCCTACAGGTGAATATGCCCTCGTCTGCTACACGTCCCTAGTCACTGTCGCCTATATAAGCGCCAGTCTCATTGCCTGTGCTTCAGAATCTCAACAACCACTGTGATCCAAACACCAACTCCAAGGCTGAGGGACTGATTACCTCATCTTTTGTATATAGTTCTTCTGTTTTCTTATTATGTCCTAGAATCTGTATTGATAAAGCCACTGGATGGCGAAACGTCTACAATAAAGATAACCAGATGTTGCACAATTGTTATAACTTTTATTTATATGAATGTTGTTGGTAATCAACAGCTAATCGAACGTTATCAAATATAACTAACACGCGACCATTTAGTTGTAATTTTTGTTTTGTTTTGGTAAAGCCTTGGTTGTGATAAGAGTGCGAATAGGTATGAAACTCAGTGTAATGATAATGGCTCCTTTTAATAATTATAACTAAATTCCCCTCTCCAGTCATAGAAATAAAAATATATTGCCTAAAAAATTGGCCTTTTATATTGTAATATTTATCAGCACGTGTATAGTTT